GGGCAGCTATGCATGGCCACATAAATACTTCAGATGGGTAGCACACCCCTGTAAATAATGTGCTATGTGAGTGCACAGTTCTGGGATGAGTGCTTTTGCCTTACCAGCACCATGTTTAAATCAAGCAATAGTAAGGTGGGATTCAGTCCTAGGCTTAAATTTAGTATTACTGTCCACCCATAACAAAATAAAGTAGAGATTGAGGCCAGGCCAGTTTTCAGCCATGCAAATAGTACCCTTGGGAGCCTAGCAGCAGGACCTGTTTGTGTAATGTCTTATTCCTTTGGCAGGGCTGCATCAAAATGTCATAAGGCTGCAGGCATGGGAGGTATGCATTCTGCAAAGAGAAATTCAGTTTGGCCTGAAAGCGGAAGCCAATTCTCTGACGTAGAACACCTATTGCCTGAGTCCGGATGAGCATAAGGGTTACTGTGTTTTCTCATCACCAATGAGAAATGCACTCTGTGCTTGCTCAGAGACATAAGAACATAAGAGATGCCAATGTTGGATCAGGCCAAAGGCCCATCCAGTCCAACATTCTGTATCACACAGTGGCCAGAAATACCAGTGCCATCAGGAGGTCCACCAGTGGGGCCAGGACATTAGAAGCCATCCCACTGTTGACCCCCCCAGCACCAAGAAGACAGAGCATCACTTGCCCCAGAACCCCTAGCTATACCTTGTGGCTAATAGCCACTGATGGACCTCTGCTCCATATGCTTATCTAATTCCCTTTTGAAGCCGTCCATGCTTGTAGCCGCCACCACTTCCTGTGGCAGTGAATTCCAAGTGTTAATCACTCTTTGAGTGAAGAAGTACTTAAGGTGTGGTGCCCAGAACTGCACACAGTATTCCAAATGAGGTCTCACCATTGATTTATATAGGGGCATTATTATATTGGCTGATCTGTTTTCAATACCCTTCCTAATAATCCCCAGCATAGCATTGGCCTTCTTTATTGCAGTCACACACTGTCTCGACATTTTCAGTGAGTTATCCACTACAACTCCAAGATCTCTCTCTTGCTCAGTCTCTGCCAGTTCAGACCCCATCAATGTGTATTTATATTTAGGATTTTTGGCTCCAATGTGCATCACCTTGCACTTGGCCACATTGAACCCCATTTGCCATGTTGACGCCCACTCGCCCATCCTTGACAGATCCCCTTGGAGTGCCTCACAATCCTCACTGGTTTTCACCACCCTGAACAACTTTGTATCATCCGCAAATTTAGCCACTTCACTGCTTACTCCCATCTCCAAATCATTAATGAACAAGTTAAAAAGCAGTGGACCAAGTACTGATCCCTGCGGTACCCCACTGCTTACCACCCTCCACTGAGAAAATTGCCCACCTACACTCACTCTCTGTTTTCTATGAACTAGCCAGTTTTTGATCCATAAAAGGACTTGTCCTTCTATCCCATGATTTTTGAGCTTACTTAGGAGCCTTTGATGAGGAACTTTATCAAAAGCTTTCTGGAAGTCAAGGTAAATAATATCTATTGGATCCCCCTTGTCCACATGTTTGTTCACCCCCTCAAAGAACACTAACAGGTTAGTGAGACAAGATCTTCCCTTACAGAAACCGTGCTGAGTCTGCCTCAATAGGTTTTGTTCATCTATGTGCCTACTAATTCTTTCCTTAATAATGGTTTCCACCAATTTACCCGGTATCGACGTCAGACTGACTGGCCTGTAATTTCCCGGATCTCCTCTGGAACCCTTTTTAAAGATGGGAGTGACATTAGCTACCTTCCAATCCTCAGGAATGGAGGCAGATTTTAAGGAAAGATTACATATCTTTGTCAGGAGATCTACAAGTTCACATTTGAGTTCTTTCAGAACTCTCGGATGTATGCCATCTGGGCCTGGTGATTTTTCAGTTTTTAAGTTGTCTATCAGTTTTAGGACCTCCTCTCTCGTCACCTCAATCTGACTCAGGTCTTTCAACACCCCTCCTGAAATCAGTGGTTCTGGAGTGGGCAAGCACTTCTCATCTTCCACAGTGAAGACGGAGGCAAAAAATGCATTTAGCTTCTCAGCCATTTCCCTATCATCCTTCAATACTCCTTTTACCCCTTGGTCGTCCAAGGGCCCCACTGCCTCCCTGGCTGGTTTCCTGTTTCTAATGTATTTGAAGAAAGTTTTATTGTTGGTTTTTACGTTTTTTGCTATATGCTCCTCATATTCCCTTTTTGCCTGCCTGACCTCAGACTTGCATTTTATTTGCCATAGCCTGTGTTCCGTTTTATCAGCCTCACTGTGACTAGCTTTCCACTGCTTAAAGGAATTCTTTTTACTTTTTACAGCCTCCATTACTCTGTTTGTTAACCATGCAGGCTTTTTCCTATACCTGTTTGTGCCTTTCCTAACCTGCGGAATATATATTTTTTGAGCTTCTAGGATCGTAGTTTTAAATAGATCCCAAGCTTCCCCAATTGTTTTGACCCTTTCTACTTTTCCTTTCAGTTTCCTCCCCACGTGTCCCCTCATATCAGAGAAATTACCCCTTTTAAAGTTAAAAATGGTTGTGTGAGTCTTTTTGGCCAATTCTCTATTTGTACAAATGATGAACTCAACAACATTATGATCACTGTTTCCAAGCGGTGCAATCACTTTTACATCTCTCACCAGGTCTTGAGTGTTACTTAGGACCAAATCAAGGATCGCCTCTCCCCTGGTAGGTTCCGTGACCATCTGCTCCATAGCACAGTCATTTAGAGTGTCTAGAAACTCAATCTCTTTTTCCCGGCTAGAACACATATTGACCCAATCAATGTGTGGGTAGTTAAAATCACCTATTATTACACAGTGTTTTTGTCTAGTTGCTATCTTTAAGGCATTCATCATTTTATAATCCTCCTCTATCTTTTGATCTGGTGGGCGATAACAAACTCCCAGTGTTAAGTTTCCTTTTGGCCCCCCTATTTCAACCCATAGAACTTCCAGAAGCGAATCCAATTCACTTAGCCTCTCAATCTTTCTAGACTTTATACCCTCTCTGACATACAGAGCTACCCCACCTCCAACCCTTCCCCCCCTATCCTTCCGATATAATATATAACCGGGAATCACTGTGTCCCACTGATTTTCCTCATCCCACCAAGTTTCAGAAATACCCACAATGTCTATTTTTCCCTCCGACACCAAGCACTCCAACTCCCCGATTTTACCTCGGACACTTCTAGCATTTGTATAGAAACAGCTGTAATTTCCCTTACAAGTTAAGCCTGCATCCTTCCTCTTGCTATCTCGAGTCGTTGTCCGGCAGTCCATGTCACCAGCCATGGCCTCTGTGGACAATTTCAATCCACCTCCCTGTAGAAAAGCAACAGGTACCCCCTCATCTCTCTGAGATGAGCCAACCCGAACCAGAGACTTTTCATCTCCTGTCGGCTTTCCCCCAATATTCAGTTTAAAAGCTGCTCTGCCACCTTTTTGATTTTAAGTGCCAGCAGCCTGGTTCCTTCTTGGGACAAGTGGAGACCGTCTCGCCTGTACAGCTCCCTCTTGTTCCAAAAAGTATCCCAGTGCCTAACAAACCTGAACCCTTCCCCCCTACACCATCGTCTCATCCACGCATTGAGACTCCTGATCTCTGCCTGTCTCTCCGGCCCTGCGCGTGGAACAGGTAGCACTTCTGAGAAGGCTACCTTGGAGGTCCTGGACCTAAGTTTCCTGCCCAGCAGCCTAAATTTCTCCTCCAGGACCTCACGACTGCATTTCCCCACATCGTTGGTGCCGACATGCACCATGACCACTGGCTCCTCCCCAGCACTATCTACCAGCCTATCTAAAACACGCGTAATGTCCGCTACCTGCATACAGTCCAGTGCTCTACACAGCAAGCAGAGACACCACAGGATGCTGAGTCAGTTTTATTGTTTTGTCACTGGTGTTCCATTTGCAGGAGCTGTAGCAGTTTAAGGTTTGAACTAAGACTGGGGCAATCCCTACTTGGGAATGAAGTTTCCTGATCCACATGGGGCCAGACATTGCTTCTTAATCAAACCTACCTCACCTTCTGAGGATAACTCAATATTCTGCCTTTAGCTTCCTAGAGGGTGGGATAAAAACAGGTCTCATTACAGCACACAAATTAAAGGTACAGATGCCATCCTTTGGGGGCACTGGACTCCTATGCCTTTAACAGCTAACAGGCAGAAATTCAAAAGTGAAGCCTTGCCCTTTTTTCAGGCAATAAGTCCAGGATGATAAATTCACTTCTAGAATGCGCCCCCCCTCAAGTGACAGAGAAAGCTGCATCCTTAGGATTTCTGCCATTTAGAGTTATTACTTCTCTTAAAAAGTTACCTCTTTTACTGCCAACCTAGCAGTTCGAAAGCAAGAAATTGCAAGTCGATAAATAGGTACCACTTCGGTGGGAAGGTAACAGCGTTCCGTGCGCCTTGCTGTTTAGTCATGCTGGCCACATGACCACGGAAACGTCTTCGGACAGCGCTGGTTCTTCGGCTTTGACACGGAGATGAGCACCGCAACCCTAGAGTCGGACTCGACTGGCTTTCGAGCAAGGGAACCTTTACCTTTACTTCTGTACCAGTCAACCTGACACTGATAAATTAACCAAATGAAGCTCTTTTTTGGCATGCTCCTAGGCAATGGAAAAACTTCACGTCGTTCATTTCTGCACGGCAGGCTGTTATCACGCATACCGCAACTCGGCTAGGAGGAAGTAAACAAACAGACACCTCCCACCCAAGTTCCAGGGACAGGCATTCTTGACTCCGCCCCCTGATTCCGCACGAGAGTTTCCCCGCCTCCTTCTTTCTATCATTCCTGCGGAGGAGGAATTCTCCCTCCGACCTCTCGCGAGTTCTGTAGTCCAATTGTGCGGTGGAGGCGCGCAGTTCTCGCGAAATTTGAAAGGGGGCGGATTGCAACACAGAACAGGGGCCGGGCGCCCAAGTCTCGCGAGATCCTGAAGCGTCTCTGGCTCGCTCTCCCTCTCCGAGTTTCGGTCAGTCAGTTTCGCCTTGCCGCTGACTCCGGAGGCGGACGGAGCGATGTCGCTGCCGGAGTCGCCGATGTCCGCGGGGCCGCGCTGGGCCCCGACGCACGTCCAAGTGACGGTCCTTCAGGCGCGGGGACTGCGGGCCAAGGGCAAGGGCGGCGGCGGGAGCGATGCCTACGCCGTCATGGCGCTGGGCAAGGAGAAGTTCGCCACGTCGGTGGCCGAGCGGTGCCTGGGCTCGCCCGTGTGGAGGGAGGAGGCCACCTTCGAGCTGCCGCCGCCGCCGCGGCGCGGCCTGTCCGGATACGAAGAGGAAGAAGGGAGGAGCGCGCAGCCGGCCGTTCTCCAGCTCACCGTCTCCCATCGCGCCCTGCTGGGACTGGACAAGTTCCTGGGACGCGCCGAGATCAGCCTGGCGGAGCTGCAGAACGAGGGGGGCCGAAGGACCACTCGGTGAGGAACCCGGAACAGGCGTCCCTGGGGGGGGGGGGGCGGCGGGGGGTGTTGGTCTGTCGGGCGAGGCTCTGGGGGAGTCGGTTCGAGCCCCCCCTTTTGGCCATGGAAACTTGGGCTGGTTGTGCCCTCTGGGGCTGACCTACCTTTCAGAGTTGTCGTGAGGATACAAGGGTGCTTGGTTAGAGCCACCAATAAGTCCTCACTCTAGGCTCTCTTAGGTGATCTTGGGCTAGTCACGCTCCTTCAGGTTGACCTGTTTTACAGAGTGGTTTTTCAGGAGAAATGGTGTGGGCATGACCAGGAATGCTGCCCTGAACTGCTTGTAGGAAGCCGGTGGTAAAGATGTAATGAATAGGCTGGTGAGACCCCTGGCACATGGCTTGTGTAGTTCTGTCTGCCCCCCATCCGTAAACTTGCCTTTCATTTCCCCCACCCCCTTCTCTGGAGGTCTGCAAGGCTGGTACTCACCAGTAGTAGTTGCTGGTGTTTGGTTATGATGGAGACCACAGTGGTGAGGTAAAGTAGGTTTATGGCCATAGTTCTGATAAGAGCTGTCCTTGAAAAAGAGCAGCTTCTGTCAGAGCGCTTTGCAGCTTCTGTCAGAGCGCTCTCAGCCCCACCTACCTCACAGGGTGTCTGTTGTGGGGAGGGGAAGGGAGAGGAATTTTATCAGCCGCTCTGAGACACCTTTGGGTAGTGAAGGGCAGGGTATAAATCCAATCTCCTTTTCTTATACCCTCACTGTCCATCTAATTGATCGTGGGCCAAGTTATTTCCCCCCCTGCTTAACCTACCCCAGCTTGGGGGCCACATAATGTAATAATAATTTCTTGTGTCTGTCACATTTTTGTGTATCTTTTCCTCCATGGAGTTAATGGCTATACTCATAGATCTTAGTTTTAATCCTCACACTAACCCTGTGAGTTAGGTTGAGATAAGAGATTGGCCCAAGGTGACTCAGTAGTTTCCTGGTTGAGTGAAGGGTTGAATGCATCTCTGCCCCCCCCCCACACACACACACTTTTAATCTGATGCTCTAATCAGTAAATATTAGCATTGTGAATGGTGCTTAACAGGTAACAACAAGTAACAAATCCCTGTGAAGGATTCAGTCTCAAATTTGACATGGGGCAGAAACAGGAAGATGGACAGATAGTCAAAGGTGGAGTGCGGAGGAAGGTCACATTCAATTCTCTGAAGTAAATTATGGGCGTTAATGGGTTGTGTCAGTGGCTTCTTAGGAAGGAGTTTGAGGAAGGAAGAGAAGTATGACATGAAAGGAAAATATTTGCGTGTGTTGCGCCAAGACTGCATTTCAGCTGTGTTTTTAAATTAAAACTCAAACACTGGTGGAAAGATGGCTAGAGTTTCCAGATAGGGTCTTTCCCCCTAATTTGTGCTCAGAGCTAATTCGCAAAACCTGTTCTTATGAGACTAGAGACTGGATTTTTTAATTTAAACAACCATTTTATGTAAACTAGGGTGTGATTGAAGGTAGAATCTGAAGGAAAGGAATGAAATCTGGGCAAAATATAGCAGGGGGGGGGGGAGCCTGCACAGATCTCTTCATGTTATGGATGGCACCTTGGCTAGAGTTTTGGCTACTAAAATACTGCCTGGTTGCCAGTTGGTATGCGGTGGAGCTAAGTAATGGACTCTAGATTGCTGTGTTTTGAAGTGTAGTAGACTTCCTCTCTCAGGGAAACAAGTCTGAAGCAAAAAAGAATGACACCCACACATCATGCTCAAAGTACACCTAGACTGATGAGTACGTTTAGGGCACCTATTTGAGGCCACCACCCTGGTATACTTAAGCCTGGCCAATATTTATAGACACTAGTGTTGTTTTTTTAATGAGGTTAGACTTCTAGCAAATTGGCTCACTAAGTCACTTCTACAGTACAGTGTTTCAGTAGATGCCTTTCTAATCTTAAAGGAGAGAATGCTCCTGAATTTTTGTATGATTAGTTGGGTGTTCCCCTTAGGTGAGGCAGTGTGAGGTTATGGAGTATGGAACAACCTTGTTTATACTTCCAGACAAGTTTATAAATAGGTGTTTTCATATAGACAGTACTGTTTGACTTAAAAGTACATCAGCATTGCTAAAGCTTACCAGTTTGGGGCAGAACGTGGAAAGTGTGAGAGCTTCTGATGGCAAGAGAATATGATCCTGCTAAATTGGGCAAAATGAGCAAGAGAGGGAGAGAAAATAGTTTGCCTCAGGAGGTTTGGGTTAATCTGAAATTTGAACTGGGTCTTCCAGGACCATAACTTGTGCTCTAAACCACGTGTTCTAGAAGTAAATGTTTTGATGAACTGGACAGGCTTGCTCAGCGGATTCTTTGAAAAAAGTTAAGTTTGAACAAGGATTTGGAATGATGGCTAGTTATACACATGCACACATATATTCATGCATCTATAAATGTGGAATTTCTTAGTTGTCAAGAATTCCATTGCATTTGGACCACTTTCAAGTGCTTCCTTTTGGACAGGTGTATTTTCAGTGAAAGCATGATTGAATTTTACTTGTTTAAAAGCTAGTAAAAGATACAGAGCATTTATATACCACTTTGGAGCATGCTGAGCGCTTAGCATATTTGCTGTAATCCTCACTATTATCCCCATAATACATTAGAGGGGTTGAAGCAAAGTATGGCTTGACAGGGGCCACCGATTAAGTTTTTGGTAGAGGCTGGATTCAAATTAGGGATTTGTAGTTCTGCCTCTTAGTTCCTACAGTGCCTCAACTGTAGTCAGTTCTTTCAGGTGATCTATTGTTTTAGATGTCAGATCTTTACACTTGGGCCATTTTTCAGGTTTATAGAAAGAGTTTAGGCTAGCCCAATTTCATCAGATCTTGGAAGCTAAGCAAGGTCAGGCTGGCTAGTATTTGGATGGGAGACCCCCAAGCAAGTCCAAGGTTGTGATGCAAAGGCAGGCAGTGGCAAACCACCTCTGAATGTTTCTTGCCTTGAAAACCTCACAGGGTCACCATAAGTCAGCTGTGACTTAATGGGGAAAAAAGCTGTCTTGTCTGTTCATGGTTCCAGTCCCCAGATTTAAGTATCCATGGATATCTGTTCATGGTTCCAGTCCCCAGATTTAATTATCCATGGATATGGCCATGTTGAGAATTAGATATATTGATAGTATACAAATATACTATATTTATCAGGTGATCATTTAAAAGGTGAATAATCAGCTTTAAAGTCTTTTATTTGGTATATATTCCTAATCAAGATGTACAGGTGGTATTCGACCCAAGTCACATAATAGTGAAATAGTAAAGCTGTACAATTTAAGAACATGGATTACAGGTCTCCTATACTGTATGATCCTTTCATATGGACTAGTTTCTGATATGCTGGTTTTTGTATGTTCAAGGAACTTTTATCCATTCAATCCATCACCTTGCATACAGTAGTGGCAAAACACAGAAGCATTTTTTATCCCTTACTTTCTGTTTCTTGAATGAGGCCAAGTCATGAGCAAAAGATGGTTAGGTATAAGAATTTGTAGAAATTGTTGTCTCTTTGTTTCTAGTTCTGTTGTTTCTTTTCTTGGTTTCCCTGAGATTTTAAGGCATGCAACTTTCTGAAAATCTAATCATGATTCATACTTTGAAAAGAAGTTGCATGTTTATGTTCCTTTCAACATTTCTGTTCTAAACTTTTTGTAATAACTCTCTCTTTTTCTCTCTTTCTAGTTCTACTATATCCTCTGCTGTATCCAGCTCTTTTCAGGACTATCCTACAACACTTATCTTGAGGGAGCAAAAAGGTTAGACAAACTAAGATGGCATGCATTGAAGACTCTAACATAGTCTGTTCTTCAGTACATACTTCGTGCCACAATAGCTTTTTATGCTGCTGTCTTGATGTCCCAACATTGTATCTACTGTTAGCTATTGGCAGTAGTCCTCACGATGCCATGTGGTGACATCACATCTCGAATCGCAAGCATTGCACTTCACTCTTAAGAATCTAGATTCCCCCTTGAACAAAAAGCTGTGTGCAGCACACTACTCCTTGAATAGTTTTGAGTCCCTAACACTTACTTTTCCCTGTTTTATTTGAACAGATGGTACAAGCTTCACTCCAAACCGGGAAAAAAAGAAAAAGAGAGGGGTGAAATAGAGGTGGACATCCAGTTCATGAGGAGCAACATGACAGCCAGCATGTTTGATCTCTCTATGAAAGATAAGTCCCGGACTCCATTTGGAAAGCTGAAAAATAAACTGAAGGGGAAACGGGGAAATGGATTGCCAGATACAGCCTCTGCGATTATTCCTAGCATAACTCACTCACTAGCTGGCAGTGACGAAGAGTCAAACGAGAAAGAGAAGGAAAAGAAAAAATCAAAGTTCAAGACACTATTTTCCAAACCTGGCTTGCAGAAAAGCAACATCTCCCAGTCCATGTCTGTGCTACCTACTCTCCAACCAGTTACGGAGAGAGTGAGGCTTAGACCAAGTGACTTTCAGTCACGGTGGGATGATGATGACGACAACACTTTAACTCCAGTCTCAGAGAGTAAGTATTCTTTTCATAAGAATAAAACTGATTTCCAAGTTGGCATGAAATGCTGTGTAGAACATTTTTTCTGCAACCGGACATTTGCTGCAACCGGACATTTTTAATTTAGTTGTTCTTTGAGACTGCTGCTTGAGAGCTCTGCAGATTATAATACTGTGAAGAAATTGGTGCATCTTTGTGACTTTATGTGTGATCATTCCTAGCCTGAAGCCTGTTTAAAAGTAGTTCTCCAAACTTGGTATGCTGTGGTTGCCAGGAGCCATTAGCTGATCTGGATATTGAAACATTTTCAAGTGTGCTTTCATAATTCTGATCTTATTCTCATTTCTATCTTTTCAGAACCCCCTGCAAATAGAGCTGAAGAGAACTTCCTTTATCCTTCTTCTGGAAGATCTCATAAGAGAACAGGTAGTGCAGATTCCAAGCAATTGAACCAAATTGCATCCAGCAGCACCAAGAAAGATGGGCATTCTTTATTTGGTGGCCTCAAGTCCAAAAATGACCCAGTTTCCCGTTCCAATGTATGTATCAATGGCAGTCATGTTTACGTCGAAGAGGGTGAGCCAAAAGGTGATACCATTCTAAAAGAGAACACTCCATCTTCACCTTTCCCTTCCCCTCAGACATCCCGACGAAAGCATCTCTTTTCATCACAAGAGAACCTGACTTCCATTCCCGGTAAGGACGCTGAAGTGACAGGAGGACTGTCTCTTGACAAAGGACCACCTGAGTCTTCCTCACTGGAGTCCTTCAAAGCCATGACTTTGCCATCATACAAACTGCTTAGTGGTGGGGATTTGCTAGAAAGTATCGCTCCAATGATTTCAGACACTTCAAAAGAGATCAAAAAGCAGGAGAACATGAAGTCTGCCTTGCTGTCCCTTGTGACAGGAAAAAAAGAAGCTGAAAATAGTTCTGAGGTTTCTGTCAAGGTCAAGGAAGTGAAACGTAATGAGAGAGAATTGGCAGGAAAAGAGACAAACCCCTTTGAAGTCCCTGTGGATTGCAGAAGAGACCAGGGCCCAGATAAGAGAAAATCTACAAATGCCCCTGTTCCAAAGGCATCCCTCAATCCTTTTACTGAAAACACCGAGGAAGAGAAATCAGAAAAAAGTGCAGCCTCTGTGAAACCATCCCAGGCCAAACCCATCAAACCCAGGTTAGTCTTCAGACACTATCATGCATGAAAGTTGGCACTTAAGGTGATTAGAAGTCATGTTTTAATGGAGGCAAATAAGAAAAGCCTACAGGGGACAAATTGAAATAGATTTTGTGCAGTCTAGTAATTCTGAGGCCTTGGTGGAGGGGGTCACTTCCGATGTTTCTCTGGAAGTGAGAAATAGCTATGTGTACTGCCTCCTCTGTTTTAAAGGCATCATGTTGGTGCCCCTTTCCTGGGTGGCAGAGAGTGGAATAAAGTCCTACAGTCTGTCTCCAAAATAGAGTCTAGTCTTATAACAAGAAAATTACGTACTTCAGCTGGCTGGACTAACACTTGCTGTTTTAGCTTTCTGTCCATTTACCTCCTGAGCACATGTGAGGCTCTACCTCTGTTCTGTTTGTGTTGCTGGGCAAATTCAGTTAGGCTCTGTTTGGTTTTTGTTCCTTTCTCAGATAAGGGGCACAAGAAATAGGTAGTCCAGCCAGTCTTCTGGTCTGTTTGTCCAGCTAATGCATTGGCTGTGGTCCTTCTGCCTTCATAGACTTGGCTATGATTTCCAAATTTGGGAAGACAAAAGGTAATCATTGTAGGCAGTGCATGGTGGAGAAGCAGCACAACACAAACAGCACTTATCTGTCCTGTCTGTTCGGTGTGTTACAGGAATTAGGGAGTGGAGTGAGTGATGTGTGGGAGGGTATGATCCCTCCCTCCCTCCCTCCCTGTGTTTTGGAAGCAGGAAGGGGAGGAACACTGGGGTGGAATGGAAAAGATTTGGGCAAGTGAGTCATTCTGCAGTTGTCCTCCTGCCCTCTAATAATTTGCATTGTTGTATGTTGCATATTAAGTTTTTACAGAGCTTTCGTTGTTTCTTTCCTCAAGTTTACGTATCTAATGTTTCTGTATCCGTGCTGTGAATGCTGATAGGGACTTAGCTACATTATGTGTGTAAAATAGTCGGTACTTGTACCAAAATGACTCCTTGTTGACTTGCCTCCTAGAACTAATGCTTTTTTGCAGCCTAACAAAGATTTGGAATTAAATACATTTCTGCTTTTCTTTCTGGTTTCTACAGAAATTTATAACCTTTCCTTTTTTTTAGACTTTACAACTAAACATGATATTCTGGATTGGTGAATAGCTTCTTTTGAACAAAACTTTATGGGAGTCACTTAACAGACACACTTCTGTATTTTCCTGTGTTCAGCCCTTGCATTTTGGGTGCTTTTTATGTTTAAATGACTTGTATACTAATGCAACCTGTGACGGATTTTAACTGAAAAGAATTGACCATGTATTTCATTGCAAATAGACCTTGCTGCCTTGGAAAACTTTGTTTTTTAAGTGTGGGAAATGGTTTTTTTCCCCACGGAACATGCTGCTGGGCTTCAAATTTCTGATAGTAAAGTCACAAGATTACATAGAAGTTAATTTGGTTGGTTTAAAAACCCTTGGTCCCTGCTGTAGGTTTTTAACATGCAGCAGCTTTATGAAACCTGTCTTCAGAATGTTTCTGCTTGTCTCATGTTGCATCTGCAACTGACATGCAGGTTTTATTTTGTCCCTTTCTGCAGACTGGGCGTGTCTTCAGAGGATGAAACCAAAGCCACTTCTACTGATTCTGTATCTCCTACTGTTTCTCCTTTCTGTCTTTCCCATCCCTCTAGTAATGACAATAACCCTTTTACCTCTAAACATGGTCCAGAATGGAAAACTGAAGCTTCCAGTCATTCTGCTAGTCCTCCATTAAGACTTTCTGCACAGCATGACAATAATCCTTTCACTCCTAAGTGGGGACAAGAATCCAAAGAAGATGACCCAGAATGCTTTAGAGCTAGTCCTTTCTGCAGGCCTTCTCCAGTTGCTAGCAGTGAAAACAATCCTTTTGCTTCTAATTGGAGGCAGGAATCTCAGACAGAGAATTCTGAAGATGTGACTAAATCTCCAATGTATCTTTCCCATCCTCCTCCAAGCCCTGTTCACGAAGATCCTTTTGTAACTACACTGGAAGACGATTCTGAAAGTATTAACAGTCCTCCCACTTCTGTTTCCTTTCCTTCTACCGCTTCTGACCAAGAGCATAACACTTCAGCAGGCAGTATTGCTGATTCCGAGCTCTATCCCATTGTGCCTTCAGAGAGCCTTCAGAGTGAAGATCAAATGGATCCTGTGGAGATTGTTCCCAGGTCTCTTTCTGGAAACCAACCTACACGTTTTTATGACCGAATTGGGCGGATTCTAAAGACACAAGGAGATGACAAAGAAGTGCAAGTGGTTAAGCCATTTAAAGAAAACAGTGGAAGCATAAAGAAGTCGGTGACCTTTGCTGTTGATGACATGAGAGATAACAATCGAGTAAATAGTGATCTGGTTGAGAGCAGGCCTCATGGGGAAAGTGAGAATACAGTAGATCCCACTGGAGGGGAAGGGACACAAAGATGTGAACTTATAGAAGATTGCTATTTATCCATGCCTGATGATAGAAGAATCACTGCAGTTCATAACACTGGGAGCTCCTTAGAAAGAGAAAATGAAATCAGCCCCTCAATTAAAGGAGAGCCACCAGTACCAATCCAAAGAGTCCTTAGCCTGTCACCTAAGGAAACAGACATCTCAAGGATAGTATTGAGTAGTATTTCTTCCTCTGTGCCACCACCAAAGCCAGCTCCAAGAAGTTCTCTAAAACTAAAAAAGGAACCTTTTCCTCTGCCTGAAGCAAACCTAGAAGATACGACCAGTTCTTCAGAGTTCGAGTTGCTTACAGATACTTCTCCACTCTCCAGTGAAAATCCAACAACTGTTAATTTAATCACAATGGAACTTAATCCTGAAAGTGAGGATGAACTTTCGCAGAGCATTAACAACAATCACTCTGACACTCTCACAGGCAAACAGCTGGACACTTTAGCTGCTGAAGAATTGCATCTAAAACCAACAGCCCTTCCAGTTATTCCTGAAGTAGGCTCTGATGATGAGCAGCTAAGTGACATCCAGAAAGATGATGAAGGCTTGTCAAGTGCCCGAGATGGTTCTTCACAGTTGTGGTCTTCCATTGAGGAGAGGGAGCTGGCCTCAGACAAGAAAACTACTGGTGAGAGACAGACTGTATCCCTGCTTGTGAAAAAGACTGGTCTTGATGATTGTGTTAAATCAACCAAATCGCCAGTCTGTTCTTCATCAGTAGTGCTTGAGAATGGAAATGAGAACATAAAAGGGTCAGAACAGAAGGATGTTAACAGTTTGAAGGAAAGCAGAACGGGTGATTGTCCTGAATTCTCTGATAAGTCTGTTTCTCTTTCCTCTCTGTCCAGTTCTTCTCAGCCTTACTCTGCTAGTTCTTTCCAGTCTGGTGCTCTCAGCTCTAATAAAGCAGAATCTCCGAAAAAATCTGCAGCGGAGGGCTTGGATGTCAAAGTGGACAGTTCTGGCAAGAAGAAGCTGCTTCAGGCATGGGTTTCACCCTCTGAAACACATTCCAATCAAACTCAGCAGAGTGGTGGAACTGTGCCTGCTAAGCTCAGGTGAGAGGAGGTGGGGGCTTACATAGACAGTCTCAAAGTGCCATATGTAGCTTTGGTTTATTAAAATTGTGGCTTTTTCTTTCATTATTTTGCCAAAATGAGAGGTTGCAATGGTAAAGTATATCGTTAATTGTTTTTGAAAAAGCTCGCAGTTGCAAGTGGTAACTGAACTGTAGTTCCTTGTGGCATATTGCTTGTAAGTTCCCTATCTCAGTACCTGAAGTTGTTTACAGGTACTAAGTGAGAACACTGTGTGCCAAGATAAACCTCTGAATTTAACCTTCACTGAAGAACTTGCATGTGGAAAACCTATTGAATCGCAGAGAATACTGCCGTGCAAATAGCAAGCTAACAACTGGGTTACCTTGAGCAAGTTACTATCTCCTGAAGCCTAACCTACCTCACAGGTTTGTTGTGAGGATAAATGGGGGAGTAGGAGGAAGGGTATGATAAAGATGCAATAAATATCCATAGCTAATTTTATTAAACACAGAACTGAGGATTTCTTTTGGAGAACTCTTACCACCTTATAAAAAGTGTAGAACCACTCAGAAAAGATAGCAACATGTTAGCCTGAAAGCCTAGTAACTATGAAATTTAACCTTGGAATGAAAGAATGTGTATGGAAAGGAATTTTACTTTAATGACTTAACAAAAAGAGCTTCATATGTTCACAACGCTTCATGTACAGTTCTACTTTGGTGACAAAGGTTTTGATTACACATTGATATGGTGTTAACTGCCTAAAATAACTGGGTTTTTCTTTCAGACTTCATCCTGTGAAGCCAATGAATACTACAACAAATAAACCACCTGCAAAAACCTTGAATGTCACAGCAAAGATCCTGGATAACCAAAATGAAACCAATCTAAAGGTACTTAAGGCTAGTACATTTTAAACCAAATAAGATATTTTCTGTCTTCAACTGTATATACTATTAACAATGGCAAGCAGGAAAATCTAATTTTAAAAAAGATGGTTGATGTATAATATCTTAGCTTCTTGACTGTATCACCTGAAACATGGATGGGTGTAAAAGGACATGAAAGTGTTCTGTTAACTTGTGGCTTGATCAGGCATACAGTGAAGGTATACACTACTGTAGAAACAGGTGTGACGCAATTCAGTGTATACGGCGCTAAAGGTCGTGTTATTGAATGTTCTTGTCTTACTGTCCTCCCTTTGGTGGTTCTGAGGACTATTCAGTCTGATGTGATGGGTTGCAAATGTGATTTCAACAGGTTCAGAATTTTCCATAGACTTTAGGTATTAAAGACATTGTTGTTGAAAGTTTAATTTATTTATTATTGGCTTTGTGCTTCCACCCAGAAAACACAGGCAGGCATACCAAAACTTGCCTACTGCCCTTCACAAAAAATACTTACTGAGATCCTGAAATTCCTGTGTTTTTGTGGATCTTTAACACGGTCCACCTGCTGTGACAGAGGAATTTTTTGTGTGCAGTCACCACATCTTGGTTTTTAGCAACCTCTAAAAACAAAGGCCTCTGAACGCCTTATGCCTGATGCTTTTGGTACACCTTTGACTTCTCTCCCTACCAAAATGACTAACCACTTTTATTCTTCCCCTTTAAAGAAATATGACCCTTCGGATCCTGCTTATGCTTATGCTCAGCTAACACACGATGAGCTGATCCAGCTGGTCTTGAAACAGAAAGATGTGATAGCAAAGCGAGATAACCAGGTGCAGGAACTGGAAGACTACATTGATAATTTGCTGGTCAGAGTCATGGAAGAAACCCCAAACATTCTTCGGGCACAACCCCACATGAACAAAAAAGCCGGACGGATGTAAAATGGCAATGAAATCCAAATGAGGGCTTCTCTGTTACTCATATTTTGGAAGCTGAGAATGTGAAAATGTTGACCTTGAAATTAACTGCTCCTTGTACCAAAGCAAATTATCCCCCCCCCCTTTTCTTGACTTGCCTTATTGATGGAGACTGGCTAGTAATTATATAATTCAATATGAAAATACCGGTGGGAGGGGGCAAACACCCTCATACCATGTAGTTTTGCTGCTGCATTAGGGTTAACAGCCTGAGATCATGGATTATGGAAGGAGTTATGAGCCAGTTTTTTAATCTGTGAATAATTGTGTAACTGGAATATTTTAAAGGATTTGGTTTAAACATGGATGCTTCTGCAGTAGCTTACAGAAGAATAAACTCTTGGACTTTTTAGGTTATTTTTAGTGCAATTTAGGTTATTTTAGTGCAATATAAAAATTATGCTAATTACATTAAAGAGATTGAAAGGAATGCAAGTGGAAAAGCATTGTTGCATGGTCAAGAAGTGCCTTATTTTGCTTGAGTTGCTTGAAAACGAGCACTTCCATCAAAGCCTAGATGCACTTTTGTTTGCAACAACTGAGCATTTGGAATATCTCTTGGCCCTTTTAAATTGAAAAAGACATTAAAAGCACAGCTATACTGTTCAGTTCTCATTCACTTGGGTTGGAGGGGCTTGTGCAGTACAAACTTGCATCGGATTATGCAAAGTTTACTTGTTTCGCCCAAAGTGAAATGCAACTGTGCTGTTTGCAAGCAGCTCTTACTTGCCTTAATCTTACTGTTTTGATAAAGTTACAAGTAAGAACACATGAGAATCCTAAATATTCAGGCACTCCCTTGCATACTTGATATGAAGATTCTTTCATTTTGTCTAAATTAGATTCCTTTCATACCAGTAATAAAGGACAGTTGTCTGTTTATATTGCTTCACTCACTGGAACATGCTGAGAGGCTGCATTCTTGAGCAACAAGAGTGGCCACAAGAGAAAGGCGGGGCAGAAATATTTCAACAACTACCCTTCCCCACTTTACTGAATTGGATTGTGCCCCCGAATATATGAGTTACTAGGTTAAATTCCAGTAAAGCTTTTTATTTTAAATCTTATAGGAGAAAATTTAATTGCTGTTTGCCTTTCACATTTCTGTTTGCTTCTGGGCAAATATGGATTGCCAGACTTGCAAAGGTTCAGTTTAGTAGATCTCATAGCAGAGCATTCAGCATTATGTTTCATTATTATATAGCTCAATTGTCTGCAGTTGAAGCTAAATCAGATCTACTTTACTTTCAGGAAACTGATGAAAATCTTAGCTTGCGTACACCCTGACACCACTCCAAGTGTTGTCTGTAAAGTCTTTCGACCCATTTAAATCCACAGTCAGTGTGGATAACTACTGTATCATTTCTGTACATTACTGCACTTTTAAAGAGGGCTGAAGTTGGCACTGAATAGCTCTTGAGATCTCACATTCTCATGTACTAGTAAAACGTGATTATAAACTGGTCAGCTCAAATCAAAGATCTGACTTTAATGAATTGTGGTACTTTAGTGATAATCAGTCAGATGATACAGCATGTAGAGCAATTAACATTTGCAGTATTCATTTCTCAAGAAGTAATGCAGCTCACATGACTTGCACTGTTTTCATAATGATAGCCTATCTATGCATTTGAAGGGTTAGATACAAAACATAGTGTGTTTCCAAGCGTGTGGTTATTTTCTCCATTCTTTCCATAAATGGTGTTTGGCACCTATGGAATAGACTGGTTTGTCTTTTTGCACAGTGCTAATTCTCACCATGGAATTCACTGACTGAAGCTGTTCTTTTTGCTTCAGCATTGTGGTAGAGTGCGCGTGCACAGCGATTATGAACATTGAAAGGAGAGGAGCTGTTGTGTCTGTGATAATGGTCTTCCCGCATGCCTCTGGCTCCCGATAATGGGAAAATTTTTAGTGCACAAACACAACTGGCATGTTACATACCTTAAGGTGTCTGGGCCTCTGGTGAAGACACCCTAACTTGTTTAAATAGATCAAATTACTACTTCCCTCTAGCTTTTCATTTTAAGCTGGAGCTGTGGCACTATACTGTATGTCTGCTGCTTTTGGCAAGAAATGTTATATGAAGAGGTTTATATTGGAAAACCTAATGCCTGATGGGTCATGTTCCGTTTACTTAATGACACACATGCCAGGAAAGTCTCTTGCAACAAATGGGAGTCAGCCTCTTAAATGTAGCTGTTGATGTTGAATGTGCCTACTGTTTTAATAAAGTTTGTACCAGAGAGATTTCCAATTGGGAATCACGCGCAGGGAAAGTGGTGTCACTGGGTCAAAATCAGTAGACTGCTCCTTCATATGAAGACTTGATCTGTTGTATAGTTCTCATGAGTTTTGATCAGTAGATAATGAAAACGGTTCCTTGCGGTTCCTTGCAATCTTTTCCTTCTAAAGAGTTCTAATGATGTATAGTTCCGAATACAATCAGGGCATCGATTTGCTGGTGTGTTATCAGTAGATAATGAAAACGGTTCCTTGCAATCTTTTCCTTCTAAGGAGTTCTAATGACATATAGTTCCTAATACAATCCGGGCATCGATTTGCTGGTGTGATCTTAAATGTACTGTGTCTTAGTGAACAACACAAATACAGCTTCTCTCATGTGCTCAGTGCTTATCATTGAAGGATCTGAATGTATGTTATTTATTTTCTGCCTTGTTACTCTTGGTACTTATAGTTCTTTGGTTTTTATACAAAGACCTTCAGCCTCAAGGACTGTTAAAATAAACTTATTTTAAATTTGTGTGAACATTTATCCATTTTCTGAAATGTAAAAAAGAAATTAGGGGTGCTTAGTGTAATGGGCAAATAATTGGCTGTATTTACAAAATCATCCTTCCTTCTTGAAGGGCTTTTTCTCCAGGATTCTGTAAGATTTTTCCCTTGGTCCTCTCCCTTAACAGCTTCGGTTGCTCTCAGCATTTTGTTTTCCTGGGGTACTTTCAGCTCTCATGTAAGTTGGAGAGGGGGGTTAATTTGAAAGTCATATTTTTCTGCACTGCTAGACAAGTCCCCCATGTAATGGAAGAAACATATGACTATGTGGTAACCTGGTTTTGCTGTCCTCGTGACTGGGATGGGGGCTAGCCACTTGTCGACTGAAATACTTCATCAAGTAGCAATTAATATGTAGCTACCAGTTCTGAAGAACTACTTACAGTACATATTCCAATACAAAGTGTAAGGGCAACATTTTGAGAAGTTCAACCAAAACGATCCATTCCTTTGAAAGATCTCCATGAATACAGCTGCCTGCCTAACTGAAGAGTAATCAGCTAGTCCTTAGTTACAGGAAATCAAGCAAGTTCGACATTGAACCAACATGTTCTGTACAGGAGCCAAAAGATCTAGTACTGTACGCAGATTATCATCTTCAAGCTAATTCAAAATCAGTGTTAAGCTGCACATTTTGATCTTATTTTTCAGCTCGTGAATGAATTCGAACCATTTGAGAACAACACACTTGAATCTATTTACATACCTGTGGGCCATGCTGGAAATCCATCTGTTCGTCTGTTTCCTTGGTTCCCATCACAGGTTGAATCTCTATGGGGAAGATTACCCATCTTCAAATTGCTAAAGGAGCAAGTGTTTTATACCACATAAATCTCTTTGGTTGTCAAGCCTGCTGTGGATCACTCCCATAGGCTACTTTCTAAATGGGTGCTGTTCTTGCTGCCTACTTAAAATATCCCAGCTGGTAGTGATCACCATCAGGCTTATTTGACAGGGAAATCCCCCCCCCCCCAAAGTGTGTGCCATAAAATGCTTTCACCTTTAGTAATTCAGGCACTATGTAGCTGTGAAGACTTAGGTTAGAAAGAACCAGTCACCAACCAAGCTTTCATCCTCTTGTCACCATTCTGCAAAGGATAGAAAGTTCCGTGCCAGGTATTGCCATGTTCACATCTGTACTATGGCCCTTTTTATGCACAGTCAGGGTTTTCTTTTTTTAAAAAAAAGGTGCCAGAACTATCAAGAGGGAAATGACATTTTCCATCTGCATACTGAAAACTCATGAACTTTTAAACATTTTATGAGTATTTTGTCAAAGAGGTTCCAGAACTCCATTCCGGTGCGTTCCCCCAGAAAAAAAGCCCTGTGCGCAGTAATGTCAAAATAGTGACAACCACTGTATAGTGGGTTAGAGGACAGCAGAAATTTAACAATTGCTTACATGGGATGTTAGGCTGGTGTATAATCCTAGTTAAATTTGCTCCGGTACATAAATAATGCAACCATCATTACAGTTACGTCTAGAGGCTGATAAATTCCAGCTTAGATACCCCTCCCTCCAGCTACTTGGTGATCTCTGGGAGAATGTCTTGCCATCTACCACTCAGCCTAGTCTTCTCCTTTGCCACCTTGTGCAGCTTTTCTCCCCATCTCTTACCATCCTGTGTCTGGCACATGCCCTGTTTGGGGGCAAGGCTTCATTGCTACAAGTACACATCTGTACAGTTTTGCAGGAAACTTTATGCAAAAGCCTGAGGAGGGCTTTTTGGCAAAGCACCTGAGAAAGAGCATTCCTGAGACTATATCCAAAGACAATTTATAAACTAATTTTGAAAAAAAATCTTCCCTAGTCCCTGTTCCGAGCTTTTGAAGAAGAGCTGCTTTTATACCCCACTTTTCTCTTCCTGAAGGAGTCTCAGAGTGGCTTACAATCACATTCCCTTCCTCTCCCTACAACAAATACTTTGGGAGGTAGGTGGTGCTGAGAGAACTGTGAAGGGCCCAAGGTCACCCAGCTGGTTTCATGTGGAGGAGTGGGGAATCAAACCTGGTTCTCCAAATTAGAGTCCGCTGCCCTTAACCATTACACCACGCTGGCTTTTGGATATATGTCTTAGAAGTGATTTCTCTCAAAGTCAGATTCTTGCAAGGCTCTCAACATTTTTTTATGATTCAGAGAAGTTGGGTCCCCCCCAAAAAAAATTCTAATTCCCCAGTGAG